AATAAAATAAAATATAATGAATATTTTTTTATACTTTTTGAACATTATATGTTATTATTTAGTAAAGTTATAGATTTTATATTTATAATTAATTTTTGATATATATATATATGATTTTTATTGATCCCATATTTTAAAAGAATATACAATAACATGTATAAGAGACTGCAACTAAATTATGAAAGTTGATGAATATACAAACTAAATATATCTATTATTTTGTATAATTATATTTATAAAATAATACATGTATATATATATATATATTGCACATTATTTCTTTAAATAAATTCGTTTTATTGTTACATAAGTATGAGAAATGAAAATGTTAAATTATAATTTTAACATGGTTAAAGTTTGGTTTAAAAGTGAATGATAGAAAAAAAAAACCTATACAATTAATAATGAAAGAAATAAGTTATGTGTAGTGTAGTATAAAAGAAAAGGTAGAAAAAAAAAAGAAAATTGCCCATTGGACATCTGTGTCTCTCCCGTCCTTTTCTCTTCCTCTCACGCAGTACAATTTTTTTAACACATAAAATGATCTGGAAGCAGTTCATTAATTTTTAAATATTTTTTTCTGGATCTGCATATTAATGGGTGAATGGACAGTATATACAGATGGAACTGCATTAGTTTTGGTTCTGCTTTTCTTCTGCTTTCCTTCTGCGTTGCATTCAAACCCTATATGATAAAAGCATCCATCACAGATTTTGAATTCGAATTTTAAGATCATATTCGATGGTATAGTTGCTTCGATATGACGTTTTGGTGATCTTGCAGCTTTGACAAGATTATCGTTCGATGGTCACTTCATTTCCATGAGATCACTATATATTGAAGATCTTCCTTGCTAGAAGATTCAGTCGTTTTCAGTAATCTATTTAATTTTTTAATTGATATAGCGAGAATTTTTCATTTTTTGTAGACTTCTTCCATTTTTATTTAGATTGCTATCGAATTTTCTTTATATAAGAACGTGTATCGTATTAGACAATGAATTTTTTTTCCTAAACTGTATATTCATTAACGAAAATATATAAGACTGATAAAAGGTTTTTAAAACCCCAAAAAAAATTAAGAAAAAAATTCAAGAACACCCTTAAAATTTAAACTACAATAGTTTTGATGTTAAAATCTATGAGATCGTTTACACGGATAGAAAATAAGACATAAAAACACAATTACAAATTCTAATCCTCCGATGTTACTTTGAGCACAAGCCCGAAATTAATCCTCAGCACGAATCTAGCAGATACAAAGACTTACATTAGTAGACATTGACTTATATGGAAATCATTAAGCATAGATAAACAAAAATTTGCATAATCCGTTCTACTTATAATTGCTAGTGATACTGAATATAACAGTAAATATGTATAATATATTCACTATATAATGTTTTTCAGAATAGTGCTTGTACTGGCCGTCGTACAAATGCCAAGACATGAATATAATATTTCTTCGACTTGTCTTTCGATACGGATGATAAAAGAGAAAGACATGGAGCGATGTCTACTGAGCACTGACGATAAGAATTGAAGTAATACATTGTCTTGGTGACTCTCGTCTTGTCAAATCAAAGCGCATTCCATCATCATTATCATTATCATGATCATGATCAGATAAATCATCGTAATCATCATCCATACACATTTACGCATGCATGTGAGAAATGAGCAGACGACACAAGTAACCTTGATGCCTATTCTCTCGTGAAAATGTTTATTTTTGAGTTGTTCTCTTTCTATTACATGTCGCAACCATGTTTTGGTGGAGAGAGATATACATAAAATCTTGTTTTAACTTAATAAAAATCTTGATGTAAATAAGATGTTAGCACGGTCGCATGGCCCTAGCTCAATAATTTGTTTATGATAAATTAGCGAGGCCTTTAAACATCTTGAGAAATTCAATAACGATTTCTTAAAAAAAACAATGTTAATCACATTAGCCAAATGCAAAGTTTTAGTTTGATACCATTTATTTACTACAGGTATCACCGGACACGTCGAATAGCTTAACCGTATCGGACTTTATTGTTAATTAGTTTCTCAAGGTACTTGAAATAATTTTTTGCAAAAAAAAAAAAGGTACTTGAAATAATATCAAACGTAGCCGTAGTAACATAAGATGTAGCAAATGTTGATGCGAAGTTATAAATGATGGTTAATAGTTGCAGAAAAAAAGCTTCAGAATTAATTTTTTTGAATCTAGTATGCCTAGGGTTTGCTCTTGTAGATTTGATAAATTGTTGTTTTATTAATACGACGACATAGTTTAAATTTCTAATGGGCCTTTTCGTGGGCTTATATAGGCTTAAATGATTTAAATGAAACCTTACAGGTTCGTTGCCCAAATCTGTTGTTACTTGCGTCCTTCCGGCTCGAATTTGATGGTTTTTACTTTTTACTATAAAAGCTGTTCTTCACATTTATGATTTATCTAACGTTGCTTTATATTTGGAACATAACTCTGTATTAGCTTTTGGATCTAACTTTTTTGTTATAGAAGTCAAGACGAAGAACCTGGATTCAATAACAAAAACTTAGATTCTTGTTAATTTGAAGATCATGTAAGAATTTCCTAGAGGTATGAGTTAAGTAACCACACTACCACTGCATGATACAAGGCTAACTATCACTTACGTTCCCTTAGATGCATCATTCAATTAGTTGTTGGTGGGTTTGCAAGTGGTCGTTGATGCACAACCTCACATAGTACTAGAGACTAAATTCACGTTCTTCTCATTGTCTTTTATTTTCATTCCATATTCTCGTGAGTTCTTTTGATGGTGCAGTGCCAATGTGGTGTGTGTCAAACCCGGAAACTTTACTCTAAAACATGATGTTAGCAATGTAATTGCGAGCTTCATAAAAAAAACAAAAGCATGTGTTCAATTCCCATCAGCAAAGACGAGGTTTGTTATAATTCTCACCATCACCAAGGATGGGAGGAGAGTAGGTCCACTTTCATCGAGGGATTAGGTCTAGACGCCAGATAGATAGATGTACGGACGACATAATTAAAAAGCTGTACTAGTATTTTGGATAAGTGTGCCATGTCAAAAGCGACAAAAACAGCATTAAAAGAATATCATATCTTTTTTTTTTGTCAAAAAGAATATCATATCTAATTAATCGAAAAGCAGAAAGTTAGATATGCTGGCAGATTTTCTTCATGACCATTAGAAGAAAAAAAGAAACTAAAAATCATATTGTTACTACCCTATATGTATTACATTACTTGTTATTCGTTTACATCATATGGTTACTACCAAAGATATCAACCAAAAACTTTGGACTAGCTAGTGTCATTAAATTATGATTCATTCATATGTCGTGTTTATAAACGAATAAACCTAATTATACCTTTAAGTAATAGTTTGAGATTTATTCCAACAAAGAGTGGAACATGATGTAAGCTAAAATTTCTCTAATTAGGTAAGAATTCTTGGGGAATTCGCCAAAGCAAAGCACTTTCCCAATTTTTATTAGATAGGAAAAATGTCTTTAAAAATTGAAAAGTAATCCAGAGAGAAAACCTTTGAACATGTCGAAGGGTCAATAACGGCTTTTGTGGACTTGTAGTTCCAAGAGATTGGATAAATATATGTTGTGTTGTAGGTACGTAGAGACTAGAGTCAATTAATTACCAATCAATTTACAATAAACTAAACGGCTCTTTTATAGTACTTGTACTTATAAATTCTGTTTTTTATATACATCGACACACATGAGATTGTGGAAGACGACGAGGTCATGACTCATAGTCATAGACACCACCTTCTTCCTAATTTTTTTATATATCTCCAAAGTGATTGGAGGAACATGAAAGTAACTAGATTGATGCATGTTGAAAGTTTTGAGAATATTGTGGATATAGCTAATACATGTATGTAGACAGTAGACACTCTTTGAACCTCGTAAACATTTTGTTTATAATCGTCATGTGACTTTATTCTAATTATGTACGTATATGCCTTAATGTCCCACTACGTATAATATAAACATAACCCTTCCTCAATAAGAAAAGTTATAAAATAAGCAATCATAATGAACAAAATATCGAATTCTTGTAATTTATTTTCGTATATTCTTTTGATACTTTTCTCTATTTCTTATGAAAATACTTTTCTGTAGCAATATAACCACAACACTTTAGCTGTCCTCTCTTTAATCTTTCTTTGTCCTCTTGTGATTTACTTATTAGTTTCATTGTCTTTTCTTTTGTATCAATAATGCCTCTCCAAATGATTAAATCATCAAATAAACAACTACAGTAAGACACGATAACTACCAGTGAACACAGAATCTTTTTTATTTTTTACATTTTCTGAACTAACATCTCATGTAAATACACATCATAATTCCACGTGCACCATCGTCTTTCGACATAAGATATTTATTTATTCATTTTTTTTCTCTAGATCAAATCACAAATTCAGGTTTGCCTCTTTTCTTTATAATAGTATTAATTGATTTTTTTTTAAAAAGAGTAGCACATCTTGAAGTAAGTAGAGTATTTGATGAATTATTTAAAGAAAAGCAAAGAAAGTAACACGAGTCTGAGTCAGCGACAAGTGTTCGCGGAGAAACGGAAACGCTCTCTCTCTTCCCCCAACGCCAATACCTTTGGAATCCTGACCCTCACAAATGCTGCTCACCTAATTTTTAAAAAGTTATTCGTAAGAAAAATAGTTTGATTATTTCATAAATGAGTTGTTAAGTTATACAATTCTAATGGTTGTTTCGATCTTATCACCTGTTCTTGATCCACGTAAATACTTTAAGTTTTCAAAATTTTATCAAGAATACACCAACTTTTCTTTAATGTCTTCTGTCTTTGCCATATACACAAAGGTTTACATTAAATTAGTGGGAAAGAAAAGAGAAAGGAATAATAAAGAAAACAAGTTGACACACTGTCTTTTTATTATTCACTCGCCTCTATAAATCCAGCCTAGCCTCTCTCCCCACTTCTTAAAACTTGTTTCTTGTTCTTTTTTCTTCTTCTATCAAATCAGATCAAACCCTATTTTCTTGCTTCCAAAATTTTGGATATATCTTCTCATACGTTTTAAAATTGTGTTTTTATTTCTTTGGCTGTAAAAATGAGTTGCAATGGATGTAGAGTTCTTCGAAAAGGTTGTAGCGAAACATGCATTCTTCGTCCTTGCCTCCAATGGATCGAATCCCCCGAGTCACAAGGCCACGCCACCTTGTTCGTCGCTAAATTCTTCGGCCGTGCCGGTCTAATGTCTTTCATCTCTGCCGTGCCTGAACTAAACCGCCCTGGTACTACTCTATAAATTATAGTATTTATTTTTTCCCACTCACACTAACAAATTTAATTATTATTATTATTATTTTTTTTACAAATTTAAATTTAGAATACAAACTTTGCTAAAAAAATATTATAATACAAATGTTCAACATCATTAATACAAAACAAGACCTTGTATTAGGTTTCAAGGTTCGGTTCTTTAAATTTGAGGTTGATGTTTTGGTTTGTTTGTTCAGCTTTGTTTCAGTCGTTGTTGTTTGAAGCGTGTGGGAGGACGGTTAATCCGGTTAACGGAGCGGTTGGTATGTTATGGACTGGGAATTGGCACGTGTGCCAAGCGGCGGTTGAAACTGTTCTTCGCGGCGGTACTTTACGACCTATCTCAGATCTCCACGAGTTGCCGTCATTGATCTCCTCCAATGAGTCTTCCAAGATATGTACCAACCATTGCCTATTCTCGACCTCAAGATCCAAGCTATCTACCACGGAGATGAAAGAACTTCCGGTTAACCGGAAACGGTCTGGGTTAGATCTAACCGGTCCGGGAAGTCCATCGGAGGAGTCAGTAACGACGTCGTGCAGTGAAAATAGAAGCAACGGCTATAACAAAAGAGAGAGAAAGTTATTAAACCTTTTTGTTTAAAACCGACGACGCAAACTCTTCGCACTTAGTTTTCTTTTAGGGTTTTATTGGCTGATTAATGATTTTCTCTACGGAGAGATATATATGATAACTTTTTGGGGGATACGGAGGATAAATAATCTGCGGTTTGCTATTTTGTTTACACACGTATAATATCATGAATCCAACCTTCTATGTTCTTGGTTTTATTTTTTACCAAACAATTTGTTAATCTTTTGATATAATTAACTGGAGTATATTTTTGATGTTTTTGACTTTTTGATTTCAAGATTATTAGCAAAACATAATGTGAGAGATCAATAAGGAAACGAGTTCTAAGAAACACAATAACGTATTTTCTACTATTTTATTACTTCCCACAAATAGTACTAATTAAAGATTTAATAATACATCATAAATAGAAAAATAGCAGATTTACATGAAATTACCTTGAAGGCACTTGCATTTCCAATGTTTTGTACACATGAGGAGATGTTATTTCAAACCAGATATGTGTCATATAACCAATAAGATACTTTTAACAAAATACTTTTATTCGTATACCTTATTTTCCGTCCAACTTGGAAGCTTTTTACTTCATTATATGAGCCAGCTCATATGAACTATATAAAGATTCTATAGAATAAAAAATCCTATAAAGAATGGACACTTGATTTGTGGAAGAAGCAAATCGGTATATGTGGTTCCCAGGGATTCCAAATTTCCAGGTGAGATTAGTACAATATTAGTTGCGAATAATAAAATGTTTAATAGGTATTTATTACTAGTTACTAAGTAAAAAATCTGTGCGATGTCACACACATAATCTTTTTATAAAAATAAATATATCATACTTTATAATTTACATTTTTATAAAAATACTGTTTACTATTTTTCAACGAAGTTTTTGTAACATATGTATAATATAAATTATATGTGTATTCATTTATAGATCGATGCTACTAAAATTTTATATTATTTTGACAATTTCATACTATAATTCAATTTAATATGTAAATACTAATTTATATATATATATATATATATATATATCTTATTATTATTTTAAATGTTATTTAAATTATAAATATTATTTAATATATTTAAAACTAATTAAAAGAAGCTAACACCTTTAAAACTAATCATTTACTAAACTAATAAAATCGTAAGTTATAATTATGAGAATGACATTGATAATTTATTTGAATCCGTGTAAAAATATGTGTATAGTTAAAATATGATTACATGAAAACATTAAGAGATCTTCTCCACTAACATGTTCTTTTCGGTAAATTATACATGCAATTTTTTCTTATCATTTGTATCTTTTATAAAATTATATTTTTCTTATATTAGTGCTGAATGCAGCTATGAAATTTTTATTTTCTAGAGAAATTTGGACAACTCAGGATCAAAACTCTTTGATATTCATCGTATATCAGTGTTGGATGCATATATGCATAAATACAAATATTTCATATATATTTATTTTATCTTGAAATCTGTGGGTACCCCACTACGAAAGAATAATTTTTTTCCAAGAAATGTTATTTAAAGTAAGTTTAATCTCTTTAGTGTTGTTTAAAATATCTAACTACACTAAAAATTAATACTAATGTAGCTGAAATTTATTTTCATGGTACATGACATCAGTTATAATTTTTCAACGTGTAATTTAATAAAATTTCATATACTACGTAAATTAAAGAACTAAACCCTATGAAATTTATATATTTTAGAGAAATTGGAACAACAAAGCTTTTAAACATCCTTGATCTCCATCATATATATGTGCTGGATGCATCTATGCATTAAAAGAAAAATACCATATTTTATAATTTATCTTGAAATATTTGGGTTAACTCCTACAAAAAGATCAAATTTTCGATAAATGACAATTATTGAAGTTTAAGCTCTTTCATGTTAACTAAAAAATACCTAATCACATTATACATTTATATTAATGTATGTTAAACTTATTTCATGGTACATGAGCATAGTTTCTAATATTTTAATGAGTAATTTAATAAAACTTAATATTCCACCAAAATCAGTGGACTAACAACCCCTATAAAATCTATAATTTTTGGAGAAACAAAGAAAAATAAAGTCACAGACCTCTTTAATTTTTTCACCACATTTTGCATGCTGAAGTTATACATTAAAACAAAATACCATATTTTCTAATTTATCTTATGAAAAGATCAAAAATTTTTTTCCAATAAATGATATATACTAAAATTTAACCTCATTAATATTTTTTTAAATAGCTAACCACACTCTAATCCATATTAATATACACTAAACATATTTTTATGGTACATGAACATCATTTCTAATTTTCCAACAAATACTATTTTTTAAATTTTATATACGATATAATTAATGTACTAACCCCTATAAATTTTTTTATCTAGAGAAATGTAACACCTAAGAAGTGGATGACTTGGAGGCTTAACCATTTTGCGCCCAGTGGACCTGTTATCTTCTTCTTTGGTTTGGGTCAATTAAATAACCATTATAAAATTTCTATTTTCGAGTATCAAACATCTTTATAATTTTCATACTATGCCATTGAATGATGCATCTATGAATTAAAAAAATTACATATTTTTTAATTTATCTTGAAATATGTGGGTTAACCCATACAAAAAGATAGAATTTTTCGATACATACTATATATACTATTTAGCTTCTTTTGTGTTGTTTAAGAAAATACCTAACCACACTCCAAATTTATATATATGTAAGCTAAACTTATTTTCACGGTACATGGACATCATTGCTAGTACACTAATCCATATTAATGTACACTAAACATATTTTTATGGTACATGAACATCATTTCTAATTTTTCAACAAATATTATTTTTTAAACTTTATATACGATCTAATTAATGTACTAACCCCTATAAAATTTTAATTATCTAAAGAAATGTAAGACCTGAGAAGTGGATGACTTGGAGGCTTAACCCTTTTGGGCCCACTAGACCTGTTATCTTCTTCTTTGGGTTTGGGTCAATTAAATAACCACAATAAAATTTCTATTTTCTAGTATCGAACATCTTTAATCTTCATACTATGCCATTGAATGATGCATCTATGAATTAAAAAAAAAATTACATATTTTCTAATTTATTTTGAAATATGTGGGTTAACCCATACGAAAAGATTGAATTTTTTGATACATACTATATATACTATTTAGCTTCTTTTGTGTTGTTTAAGAAAATACCTAACCACACTCTAAATTTATATATAAGTAAGCTAAACTTATTTTCACGGTACATGGGCATCATTGCTAGTTTTTCAATGAGTAATTTATTTAAGCTTCATATACAACTTAATAAGTGAACTAATCTCTATAAAACTCCATTTTCTGTAGAAACGGATACACCAAAGGTCTCAAAACTCTTTATTCTTCATACTATGTCAATGCATAAATTCATCATTCATTTAAACAAAAATACTATATTTTCTAATTTATCTTGAAATATGTGGATTACACCCTACAAAAAGATTGATTTTTCCGATAAATGTTATATGGATGCCTCTTTAATTTTGTTTAAAAGTACCTAACCACATTCAAAATTTATATTAAAATATGAAACTTATGTTCATGGTACATGGGCATCAGTTTTAATATTTAATCGAGAAATTTAATAAAACTCCATATACCACCAAAATCAATGAACTAAACCTTATAAAATCTCTATTTTCTAAAAATTCTTGGACAACTAAGGTAGCAAAACTCTTTGATATTCATCATATATCAGTGTCGGATGCAGCTATGCATAAATATAAAAATTTCATATTTTCTAATTTATCTTGAAATCTGTGGGTTAACCCCTATGAAAATATCGAGTTTTCCGATAAATGATATTTATTGAAGTTTAAGGTCTATCATGTTAACTAAAAAAATACATAATCACATTATAAATGTATATTAATTTTTTTAAACTTATTTTCATGGTATATAGACATCATTTCTAATATTTTTATGAGCAATTCAAGAAAACTTCATATTCCACCTAGTTTAGTGGATTAACACCTATAAAATCAGTAATTTCTGGAGAAACTGAGACAAATAAGGTCCCAGACCCCTCTATGTTCATCATATGTCACTGCATGATGAATATATGCATCAAAACAAAATACCATATTTTTTAAATTATTCCAATAAATAACATATACTAAAGTTTAGCCTCATTAATATTTTTAAGTAACTAAGCACACACTAATGCGTATTTATGTACGCTAAAAGTATTTTCATGGTACATGAGAAAAATTTCAAATTTCCAATGAATAATTTTTTAAACTTTATATACAATTTAATTAGTGTATTAACCCCTATAAAATTTCTATTTTTCTAAGGAAATATGAACAACTAAGGTTTCAAACATCTTTAATCTTCATATTATGCAATTGAATGATGCTTCTATGAATTAAAACAAAAATTACAAAATTTATAATTTATCTTGAAATATGTGGGCTAACCCCTAATTTTTTTTTGAATTTTTCGATAAATACCATCTAAACTATTTAGTCTCTTTAGTCTTATTTTAATTTTCTAACCACACACAAAATTTATATATATGTATAAGCATATTTTCATGGTACATGAATATCGTTTCTATTTTTTCAATGAATAATTTATTTAAACTTCATATACTACCTAATAAGTAGATTATCCCCTATAAAAACTCTATTTTCAGGACAAACAAAAAATCTAAGGTCTTAACCCTCTCTAATATCCATAGATTGTCACTGATTGATGCAGCAATTCATTAAAACAAAAATACCATATTTTTAATTTATCTTGAAATATGTGTTAACCCCTACAAAAAATCGAGTTTTCCGATAAATGTTATATATAGGCCTCTTTAGTTTAGTCTAAAAATACCTAAACACATTCAAAATTTATGTTAACGTACTAAACTTAAGTTCATGGTAAATTGGCATCAAATTTAATATTAAATCGATAAATTTAATAAAACTCCATATACCACCAAAATCAATGA